ATGGAATCTCAACAACGTGCTGCCTAAACAAGACGTAAGCAAGGACGACACTAATGGACAGACTAACATACGAAGGGAAATCTCGGGGCCTCAAGCATTGACAAGGGACGGCAATTAAATGTCGAGAGCATGAGGAATAATGTTCCCAGGGAGGAGCCCCCCGACCCCCATTGGTTAGCACAAGACGGTGACCCCTGAAAACATATACACACAAGTCCCATTGTATAACCGTTTCCTGCACTCTGGCATGTTTTCAAGCGTACTGATGAGCCTCAGTAAAGAGCCATTGTAGGAAAACGACAACAGTCACGCTGGTGTGGACTCCCTGTTCTGCCGCATGGGTGCCCGTCTCAGTGTCTGCTGTCGAGTTTTTATTTATGTTAGAGTTGGGTTTATTAGTTTTCATCACTTATGTTGAAAACACGAACACAGTAATGGATTTTTACACCGAAAGCTTTTCCTCTCCAATTTGAAATACTAATACTGGCGATCTTACCCATGAAAACGCGGTCACCGCCTCTTTAATGCACTCTCTATTTTAAAATATGAATGCAGACAGAAACCGTCGACCTACAGTCTTGACATCTGAAGATAACCAGTCTGGATGACTGGATCTGGCAGTTCGCTCTCTGGATCAACACTGACAATTAGGAGAAAATGACAAAATTTCATTCCCCTGGAACAGAAAATATAGACAAGTGGCATTGGTTAAAAAATTATGACATTTTATTGACAGCAAAGCAATTTTACAAATTTACTGCCTTAAAGAAGTTAGAAATTTTGAAAATTTTACACAACCAAAAAAAAAAAAATCAAGGTGGATTTCAAGGCTTTGCTCCAAGAGGTTATACTTCCCTGCTTGTTCTGTGCCTGAGCCTTGCCCAGGGCTTTCTTTTGTCAGCATGCAGTGTCCAATGAGCAGAGCTCCTACTTAGAATAAAAGTAAACAAATAAACGAATACCCTGTAGTTAATAATCAATGAAAAAATATTTGTAGCTTTGGTTTGCTAGGAAGGTGTGTCATTCCTCCTGTGTCTTTTTCACAAACTGCGGAATGGAGACATTGCTCAGTGGATGGTTGCTCATCTTGTGTGCACGAGCTTCTGAGTTCACTCTTCGCACTGCACAATCCAGGTGGGCTGCCAAGTCAGGGGATCGGAAGTGCAAGGTCACTGGGTCCCCAGTGCGCGTAGGCAAGCTTGAGGCCAGTTACGCTGAACGCTGTCTCAAGATAAACCTAACAATTAAAAAATTAAGCTTAATTATAAAACTTGGATAGTGTGAAGGTACACATTTGCAAAATGCCTTAGCAGGTAACAGAAATGTGCCCGAGCAGATGACTAATAAGATCACCCCTAGGTCACCAAGCTCTTTGAGTGCATCTGCATAGTCTCCTGTGTATGCCTTCCCATTGGTTTTTGGAAACCTTCGGAGACAGGAGGTAAATAGGTATTGCTGAATTTTGAACATTTTGCTGGAGAGTTCTCAGACAAAGGGGAGAAGTGAAGTTTGCTGTTTAGAGCTATTATTATTATTATTATTATTAATTTTGTAGGTTAGCCCACAGTAGAATGTCAGACTCGGGCTCTCCTTAGAAATGTTCACGCCTGAGCCATGTTGAGTGTTATAGATGGCTTTCTCTGAGGATCGCACCTGAGTTGCGAAGTCAGACTATCTCTGCTGATAGGAAAAGGTCTATGAACGGAGCCAATGCTCTAAGCACACAGGTCCACTTTTGTAGCGGATAGACAACATTGTTGCTGGAAAGGGAAGAAGAAGGGAAAGTAGACACCTTGAATAGAGCATTGTCCATTTGGACTACAATAACAACTACCAGTAAGCGGGCAGCTTGTATATAGGAGGATGTTAGTTCTCACCGTTCTGAGCCTAGGAAGTTCTCGACGAAGATGGGTGTAGGTTGGGTGTCTGGTAAGGGCCATTGTTCATAGTACCCACCTTCTTAGTGTAATCTTCTCACCACGACTTCCCATAGGGGAAGGACAAGGCCTGTTGACTGAGGGCACTAATCCCATTCAGGAGGTGCAGAGTCATAAGACTGTCACCTCTCGAAGGGCCCTGCCCTTTAATACCATAACTTGGGAGGCCAGCATTTGAACATGCCAGTTTTGGAGGTTCACAAGCATTCAGAAGAAGCTGAAGAAAAGGTTATTGAGGTCACTGTGAGAGTACCCTGAGTTATTTTGTGTTCTAGTCTTAATCTTACCAAGAGAACAAACCTCTGCTGGGCTAAGAAAGCAATAACCAGGTTTGTTCCCTCATGCAAGTGAAGGCTTGCGAGGGATAAAGAGATAATTCTACTCTGGGCTGGAGGGATGGAACACAGGGTCGCAGGCCAAGAACAAAGGGCATGGGAGCATCTGGAAGTTTATCCCGTAATCTGACTCTTGCTTCAGAGCCAGTGACCTGAAGTCAGTGTCCCTTTAGAGAGTCTACAAGTGAAATTCAAGAACACTTAACTATGCAAAGCATGTCTATTTGTTAAAAGTGAGTGTTTCCATACAGGGTACTTAAATTTCCTTTAACTCGAGACCCTGCCTGAGGTCCATGAAGTGTGCTTAAATTTTATCTATTTTTAGATCTCACATAACGTTTTCTTATCCTTGTAAAAAATATTCTAAAAGTGCTTCCTTAAGAATCATAAGTTCATAACTCATCAAATGATTTGCATGCTCAGTGTTTGTCAGAACTGTGTATGCATTTCCTCCGTAGCCTGGTGCTTAGAACGCTGGGTGTTAGGATGGATGAAGTCAAACTGTATGTCCCTCTAGTGACTCAGATTTTTTGAAGGCTGAGTGTACTCTCTCCAGAGAGCTGTTTTTTTTTTTTTCCTTGTGGTGGTTTCCTTGTTTGCACATGTGTAAGAAGGTTGAGGTGTGAAAAGGAACACTAATTCATTGTGTAGATGTTGCTTCTAAGTAATGTCTGTGGCCAAATTTGCCAAAGTGGGAGGAGTCTGTTCATCCACCAGAAGGTGTCTGTCTGTCTGTACTGCTTCCTTACTCTGCCCCTTACTTTACCGACAGCAATCTGTTTTATTATTCATTCCGGAAACTGCCTAGAAAATGCTCTTGAAATTATGATACTATATTACAAAAGTGATAAGTCATGTCACTGGGTAAACAGAGTGACCTTGTCAGAGTCACAGTGACTCAGTGGGTGGGCCAGGAGTTTATGACCCTACCCTCTGTCAGGACAACTGTGCTCAGGTGTCCTGAGAGGTTATATGTTACTCCTGCTTATATTAGCTTCTAAGGTATAGCAGTGGAAGAATGTATTCTCTGAAGAATATTACTCTAAAAATACCACTGCCAAGAGAGTGGTGAATACCTATAAATGACTTCTTGATTGGCTAGGTCAGAATTAGGTTGTTCTTAAGCAATGCCTCACTTATGAGTTCTTCTATGCATTGCTGGGGAGCCAGCTGTAATAGCTACGCAGAAATACCACAACGATAGAAGCATTCAGTCAGGAGGGAAAAACTAGAGGGATTAATTTATAGCTGCCATTTGTTAGTAATCTGCCTAATCATTTTCTCCATCCCCTGTTGGCCATTGAGGAAAAAACGATGTGGAGAGAGAAGGGAAAGGCTTTTTAAAGGAATTGCGACATACAATTCAGAAATGAGGACGCGTGGAAACACAGTTGAGGGGATAACATAAATCTGGGGGGCTAGAGCTGCAGTACAGTATGGTGGTAACATACTGGCTTAGCCCACATGAGGCCCCGAATTCCATTCTCAGCCATGCATCCTCAAAGCCAAGGAGATGGCTGTTATGTGTGGTTAAGTTGTCTAAAGACCTTTGTGTGAATAAACTGCAAAAACAGAAAAGCAACTTTTGTTTGCCAGGCTAAATTTTCCTAAGCCAATGTTTTGTAATTTTGAATGTTGCTGAACAACATTCTGAAGGCTATTAGATGGAGATGCTTTTGTCTCCTTTTCCTATTCTGAGCATACGCAAATGTATATAGAGATCTCTGGAATGAGGAAGGAGTGACATTCCACAGGACGCCCTCCCACACCCACAACCAGTGCCCGTTGCAGAGGAGAGACCAGCGAGCCTCCTCTTGTTTTGCTTTCCTGTTGGACCTCCTTACAGAATAAAGAATTGCTTATTTGGGTGATGAATTGTTAAACAACAACAAAATAAATCCACTATTTCAAGACACTGCTTTGTGACAGTGATTAATGATTAATTACCCATGCTCACATTAATGGGAATACACTGTGTATTGAGTTACTATGTGGTCGGACTCTATCAGCGAAGAAAATGAATGAATCCATGCCAACCGCGATTTAGCCGCAGAACAGCCCTTTAGTGCGGGTGTCAAAGATGAGTTGCTTTCCTTGTGCTTTGGTGTGTGTAGAGGCGCAGATATCTTTGCCATGTGTGTCATATTAACTGGAAGACACTCAGTATCAGATCCCAGGGTAATTCGGAGGAGTTCCGGTACATTTAATTTTCACCCAGTCATTCTGCTCTGGTAGTCAGTCATGGGCGTGAACGTGTTACCAGTAAGAAATAGTCAATTATTTGGATGAGTTCCTCTGCACCCTTTACACGTGAAACAATGTGGGTAGAAACAAGGAACCAGATGAGAAAACAAAAAACATCCCATTTAGAATTATTATAGGGAAAAGTGTTCCAAGTGAAGAGAATTCTGATGGTACTCTAACTGCGTGGTGAAACAGAACCAGATTGAGCCTTTCTTTATTGCTGTTTTTAAAGACACGGGCTTTGGATATAGAGGTCTGATCCTGGGACACTTCCACCTTTTTGTTCAGAGTTCTTTGTTCTGAGTTTGAGTTTAAAAACTGAATTTAGTTGATTTTTGTCTTCTGATGGGCCACTGGCTCAGAACAGCCACATAGTTCTGGGATCGGAATTATCTACTCAAAATTTTTGAGACGATTTCAATGAGCACTAAAATCACCTTGGCGTTTTTGTAACTGCATGTGTTATTTGTTTATTTACTTTCAGTTTGATCAATAAGCTCAGACCCGGCATCATCAAGAAGATCAATAGACTGTCTACACCAATAGCAGGTTTGGTAAGTAATACATTACCTTCAAAACTAGGTTTCTTCAGCTTCATTTTATTTGTAACCAACAAATGACGATTGTGCATATCTTCGTGTGCCGTGTTATGTCCTTCTGATATAGTATAATGTGTTATATATTTCAAAATGCTTAGAAGAGAGGACTTTGAATATTCTTACTTTAAAACTGATTTTGTCCTTGAAATATAAGAAAGTGGTCACAGTAATTACTTCATCTGTAATTACTGTCACTTTAAAAAGAGTGACGACCTCCTTTGTCTTTCAGCACTTCCTTTCTGTCCAGAGGCTTTCGTTTTAATTTGTTTTTGTTTGGATTATGATGCTTCAAAGTGTGGCTGTCCCTTTTCTGGCCTTCTTTCTTCCACAAGTTGCATGCGAGTTGCTCCCGTTCTTCCTACAGCTCTACTGTGCTTGCGCTGTTTTCTTGTCGGCCACAGCAGCTCCTCAGAGTGTCAGGCTTTCCCTGGTTGGCGTGTTTCTGCTGCTGCAGGCTTGTGTATTATGCTCACTTAGGTCATAAGAATATCTGCAGAATAATCAGGGCCCGCTAGCCCTCTTACGGTGCGTCATGTTTCCTGTTGATGGATGTGTCTCTGCCTTCTTCTGTGTCAGGGACACATCGTTTCTAAAGAAGCACCAGTGATTCCCAGATGCCCCCCACCTTCATTATGACTCTTATTTTAGTGGTGCTGGAAATAGAAGTGAGGCCCGTAAGTCTTCTAGCCAAACACCATATCACAGCTTTATTCCCAGCCCTCCTGTCTTCAAATGGAAGATTTCTTCTAAGTATTAAGAAATACTACACACTCTCGCCATGTGGTTATTTAGATTTTCAAGACACCATGGACACCAATGATAACATGAATCAATGCCTTTGGAAAAATGTATAATGAAGCAAAATTGATGAAGAACTTTCCAGAAGATTTAATAAGCCTTACCTGTCAATACTGGTGGGATGGAGAGATGGTCCAGCAGTTGAAGGCACAGGGTAAGGGTTAAAGGTTCTCAGTTCAGCTCCCAGTGCCCATATCAGGTGGCCCACAATCACCTGTAACTCCAGCTCTAAGGGATCTGACACCTTCATCTGAACCCAGAGGGCGCTTATACTCTGGTACATATTCTCCCACCACATAATTAAATTACAAGTCATAAAAATTAATCTTTAAATAAAATTACTATACTGGTGACAGAAGTCAGTTAAAAAGATCCCAGAACGCACTGCATAATTAATAATTAGAATCTAAAACCTAACTGATAATCTATGGATTATTCAATGCGCTTCTAATAATCTATTTGCAAGACTTCTTTCTGAGCTTCCATGAGTTTACAGCTGTGACGAATGACCAGGGGAGCCACAGACAGCCATGCCCCAGCTTCTGGGTTTGCAGGAGCATCAAAATCTCATCAGAACCTGACAGGACTGAGTTTGGCCAAGGATTTATTATTGGAAAATAACTGTCTGGGAGAGAAGGAATGAAGTGTTGAGGTTTCTTTGAAATTTAGAAGGCATAAAAAGTTCTTAGAGCCACTGGTTCCAGTACTGACTGCTCCTAATCAAACTGCATGTATTCTAGACCTGTCATGAATAGGTAGCTGACCTGTAATTTGTACTGGTCTTAAATTTAGGTAAGTAAAATGTCTATCACACACACACACACACACACACACACACACACACACACACACTATTTCCTATTCTTCTAGTTATTCAAAAAATAACATTAAAGGAATGCGTCCCTGAAATCTTTCCAGGAGGAAACATTCAGTCTTATAAAATAAGCTTTATATGAAAATGACTTATTAAACAACCTGTACAAAAATAAATGTTTGAATTGTATTGAGTTACACTATCTTTTCCAGTGGCCTGAGTTATTCTTAGATAGTTTAATTTTTTGATTTTGAACTTTCATTTTTTAAATGAAATTAGTCTTTGATCTCAAATATGCCCCTGAGAATCTGGAATGCTTGAATTGTGCTGTTTGTTGCTGTTGGCTACTGTTGGCTTTATTCAACTTTACGATTGTATGATTAGATGCAAGCACAAATGTATTTTATTTTTAAGCCCCAAACCCTCTCCAGGCATTTCTATTTCAAGCATCAGAAATTCTCTCCAGTTTGAATTTTATCTTTAGAAGCTAAAATGAAATGCATTTCCGGTATATTAAATAGAAGGCTTTTCTGAGCACTGTGCAGCGAGCATTTCCATGGGGTATGAGTGTGTAAGAAAGATTTTAACTGCAGAATGGGCTAAGCCCCATTGGTTTGAAGTGAGCATCACGCCTTGTTTGCCTGCTGATGCTTGTCACAATGGTTCTAACAAAATTTGTGACTCCAGCATCCACCTGGAGAGGGGTTGGTATGAGGACTGAGGTATAATGAGGAGTTTGATGTTCAAGTCTTCAATGCATGCATGTTCTTTCTGTTAACAAATAATTGAGTGCCTGTTAGGTTGAGGAGTTTTCTAGCACACTGAGTGTTGTAAGAGGACAAAAGAGTGTAGACTTTGACTTCAATTTCAGGGAGGCAGAGCCACACAAATCAATTAACAAGTGGGCAAGAAGGCACCACAAAGTGAATGTGTTCAAGAGGACAACATTGGACTGACATCCCAAAAGTTTGAGTGCTGATAGTTTCCTAAGGAGTAGGAAAAAAACATGGGATTTTGGCCTGTGTGCAAGAATACTGAATAACTAGGGCAGACTTTTCATAATGCTAACAGTTATGTTCACAGCACCCAACACAGACACTAATGCATACAAGAGATAAAAGAGCTTGTTAAACAAGGGATGACCATGTTTCCATTGTGTTGGAGGAGAGGTGACTTGTTTGTCCCGGTTGCCCAGAACTGAAACTCAGGTTGATAGGTTGATATAATCCAAAAGTCTTCTTAATCAAATTTTGCCTGTATATATATATGTGTGTGTGTGTGTGTGTGTGTGTGTACGTGTGCGCGTGCACGCATGTGCTTGAAAGTCTCTCTGCCTCTGTCCATCCCTCCTCTCGCTCTCACACAGAAACAGAGAGAGAGGCAGGAGAGAGAGAGAAGAGACAAGAGAGAGACACACAGAGGGAAACAGGAGAGAGAGACAGACAGATATAGAGACACACAGAGACAGAGAGACACACAGAGGTCATCATCAGATGTCTTCCTTAGAAGCTCTTCACTTGGACTTCACCAACTTTCCTTAGGATGCCTTTCTCAGTAGTGAAGCCTTCAAGCCAAGTCAGGTGAAGATAGTTTATTTTGATGCTCTATCAGCTGCCTCTTGAGGTAAGCCAGTGTACGTCCATAAACATGCCAGCTCAGCTTACTTCTTCACTCCTGTGCCGTTCCCAGCACAATCTTTCTTTGGCATCTCTTATCTGAGATTCAAAAGAGGATTCTGAATGTACCAGGCCCCTTTTCTCTTTCTGCTTATCAGCAAGCCTGAGAAAGAGTTCCTTGGAGAAGGTAGTTGTCGGGTAAATGGGATTGCCCATGAGCGTTGGCTTCTTTTGAATCATTCAGCTGAGCCTGGAAGGTTAAAGTGGGTGGGTGCTTGAGTGAGGGGAGATGCACCAAAGACGTTGAATCCTGAAAGAGCTTCTGCATGGAAACGTGATCTGAGTGGTTAGGGAGCTTCATGGGTTTTCCTCCACGGCTCCTTCCTAAAGATTTTTTAGCTATGCGAGTTGTGCATTGTGTTTTAAAAACAAAAGCAAAGGATTGAGAAAATCATGGAGTAGGTTCTGAGACGTGGTACGTGGCTATAGAGATTTATATCACATGATTTTCTTGAAACATTGATGTAATTGTTTTCTCTAGAAGGTCAGAGGATGTGTGTTCTCTTGTATGTTCTAGTGATAAGGTTTCTCTCTGTCTCTGTCTCTGTGTGTGTGTATTCCATGGTTTAGTGTGTACTTCAGAGGACAATTTGTACTAGTTGGTTCCTCTCCTACTATGTGTAGGTCTCAGAGATCAAACTCAGGTCACCAGGCTTGAGAACAAATGCCATTTCTTACCGAGCCATCTCATGGTCCTTACTTGATCATCTGGCTTCATAAACAATTATATTCTTCCTATTTCTTCTCTGCTTGCTATTCATCTCAAAATTGGGTTTGAAAAACCACCAACTAACCCAACAGTTAGTTTATATCTTCTAAAAAGTTATCTAGTGCTAAGTGTGGGTATGTTCAACATACTGAAACACAAAACTAACAATATAGGAATAAAAAAAAATGTCCAACAACAAAATAAAACCCCAAGGAACAGGCAAGATATCCCGGTAGTAAAAAGAGCTGTTGAAGCAGAATAATGTTTACCATGGGATACATTAGCCTTTGTGAAATACAATATGAGTGAAAACAGCAAGGAGGTTAGTAACCCTAAACCCTCCAGCCATTTTGGACACCTGACAGTGTACTTGGATTTAAGTAAAGCAAGGCTTCTTACCCCCAGCACTGCCGTTCACACCCTGAGCCCTGTGGATGCAGGGGCAGACAATTCTGTATTGAGCACTCTGCCCTAGATGTGTTGTTGATACTATAGAGGCCTCAGCAGCCTCTGGGACTCACTGAAGGACAAAAGTGCTTCCCTTTTTCGTCATTTCTGATCACTAAACGAGTCTTCTGACACTGCAGTGTCCTCTGTGGGATAAAACCATTCCTGGTTGAGAGCCACTGAGCTGGAGAATCAAGGCAGCGTGCGCCAGGCCTTGCTATAGGGTTCCCTTGGCTGACTGCCCATAGACTAATCTTTTCACATTTTCATTTCAGTTATGATTTTTCTGTGAAAAGTGATAGTTCAGAAAATTGTTGAAATAGGAGCGGCAGGGCTGCGTCCCCAGCACCCGGCCGCCCGCATGGCTAGTTTATACCCAGAAATAATTACACGGAAACTGTATTCTTTCAAACACTGCCTGGCCCGGCTAGGTCCAGTTTCTTATTGGCTAGCTCTTACATATTGTTCTAACCCATTTCTAATATTCTGTGTAGCCCATGAGCTGGCTTAC